CCTCTGGGCTGTAACAAGGGTTTAGAGCATGTGGCACTGGCCTGGCACACTGTCAGTGCTCATTAAGAGACACACATTATAGCTTCTCCTAGGACTGCAAAACAGAACAGTGCCTGCAGTGACCTGTGGAGCCAAATCGATTGGCATTACATTTTTAGCTTCGCTTACTCTTGGGCAAGTTACTTAACATCTCCAGTCCTCAGTTTCCTCACATGTAAAATAGGGATAATAACAAAACCCACCTCATAGGTAGGGTCAGTAAATGAGATCATGCATGGGAATTGCTTGGCATGATGCCAGGCACTGTGTACTATTTAATAATTTAGCACATTTTTACTACTGTAATAGTTATTGCCACCCAGACTTCAAGGAAGTCAAGTTACTCTCCAAAGAACTGGTGGCATGTAGTTGGGATCAGACCAAGGGAAGGATAAAGGCGTCCTGGGGGCTGTTTTTATGCAGATGCCAGAGCAGGGAGGACCAAACCTGCTCCCTCTCTTTCTTCTGTCTCTTTAATTCTCTGTCTTTGACTTTCTCTTTATCAAACTGCCTTTCTCTATTTGTTTCTGTCTGTTGCTCCTTCTCTTTACCTCTCATTTCTATCTCTGTCTCTTTTTCTCTGTTTCTTTCTGGCGTGCTGTGCTGGAGCTAGCACTGGCTCAGGGCGCACCTCTTCCTGCCCCAGCATACAGGAAATCACTTTGAATCAGCCATGGTGGGAATATTTACACCATGGAAATCAGCAAATGCTACAAATCAGGACTTTTTTTTTTTTCCTTTTTGTCTTTTTTACTGACCGGCAACGGGATCGCAACCCTCGGCGTTGCGCCCACACCGCGCTCAGCCAGTGAGCGGGAACCGGTCTCCACATGGGATCCGAACCCTCGGCGGGAGCGCCGCCGCGCTCTCAAGCAGCGTCTCCAGTGCGCCACCGGGCCGGCCCTCTTTTTTCTTTTTGAGAGTCCATTTACTAGCACACCACACTATGTTTCTTTTTGTCTCTGTCTCTCCCTTCTGTCTCTGTCTTTATGTCTCTCTGGTTCTCTTGGTCTCTTTCTCTTCATCTCTCTGTATCTCTCAATCTCCAGCTCTGTCTCTGCCTCTTCTCTTTCTGTCTCTCCCCATCTCTTTCTTTCCTCTGACAAAGCCACATGAGCAATGGTCACATTCAGTGTGGTCCTCTCACGGCCTTGGGCCACGTCTCCAGTGCGCCACCGGGCTGGCCCTCTTTTTTCTTTTTGAGAGTCCATTTACTAGCACACCACACTATGTTTCTTTTTGTCTCTGTCTCTCCCTTCTGTCTCTGTCTTTATGTCTCTCTGGTTCTCTTGGTCTCTTTCTCTTCATCTCTCTGTATCTCTCAATCTCCAGCTCTGTCTCTGCCTCTTCTCTTTCTGTCTCTCCCCATCTCTTTCTTTCCTCTGACAAAGCCACATGAGCAATGGTCACATTCAGTGTGGTCCTCTCACGGCCTTGGGCCACGCAAATGCCATCCCCAACCCTTTCAGTATAGTGGACCCCAGACAGCCAGGCACAGCTAGGACTTTGGTGCCCATCAAGCCTAGAGTGATAAAGCCCTGAGAGCTGCCCACCTCTGCCTACTGACCATGCTGTCAGCTCTGCCAGGGCTCTTCCTCATCCCACACAGCTTTTGGCCTCCTTCTCAGAGGCTGACAGTTCTGAACTCTCCCTCTGCCATACCAGGCATGCGGAATCAGGGGCTCCCCTTGGGCTGATAGAGATACATTGTGGCAATATGTCCTTGGGTGTTATTGGAAGTAGCAACATTGTATCTTTGTGTGGACCTGCAGGGTTGTATAAGTTTGTGTCCTCCTACAGAGTCTGTGTCTCAGGGCAGGCTACGTAGGGGGAGGGCTATGTATATCCGTGTGTGTGTGTCCCCATGGGGGCTCTGCATTTGTGCATCTTGCAGGAATGGTTGCAACTGTGTATGTCTGTAACAGGCAATGGAAGTGGTTGAGAGCTCAGATTCTGGAGCCAAATGCCAGGATATATCATGTGTATGACCTTGGGCAAGTGTCTAAACCTCTCTGTGCCTCAGTTGCCTCATCAACAGCGATCATACTTAAGTCATAGGGTTGTTGTGAGGATAAAATGAGGTAATATAGGTAAAGTGGCATGCAGCGGCTGGCACACAGTAAGCGCTATCGATTCTGTGTTTGCTATTCTCGTGCAGGGGCTGTGTGTGCGTGTGCAGATGGATGAGGGCTGGAGGTTTGTGCATATGGGGTGTGTGCACGCTTGAAGATGTATGTGTCTGGGAATCTGTACAGAGGAGCTCGGGCTCTCTGTAGGAGGTGCTGTGTGTAGCTGAGGTAACAGGCATGTATGAGAACAGGTCAGAAGAGTTTTGAGGATCTGGGTGTCAGCCTTGCGTACTGTATGAGGTGTGCGTGTGTGTCTTCCTGTGAGAAGACTTTCATTCTCACCCTGTAACCCTTGTATTAGCCCTATTTCTCCTCTCATCAGTCCCTGACATCCCTTCAGCTGAGCCCTGGCTGCTCTCTCCCCTCACCTCTATTCTCTCCCCTGGACCTAACCATACCTGCAGTGTCCTGGGGCCTTTGGGACACAGTGGTTTCACCCCAGGGGAGGGGTTTGGGGTGAAGATCTCAGCCATGGCCTGGAGAACGGGGGCTATTTTAGAGTAGGCCTCTCACCACAACCCACTTCACAATTCACCACATGGGTGTTGTGCACACACACCCCTGCCCCCACCAACACACATATGGCAGAACAGTTACAATGACAGGTGAGAGGGGCTGGTGGGAATAGCATGAAAGTCAGGGCACTGATGTGACAGAAACATTGGCCAGGCAACTGGACCTGGTGGATCCAGGAAGGCCTCCTAGAAGAGGTGAGTGGTGCTGGGTAGGAAGGGCAGGACCCAGAGAGAAGAGGAGGAGGCTATCCATATGAAGAATTGGACTGGGGGTCAAGAGAGGGAATTAGGGGTCCCGGTCCCCAGGACCTCTGGGCCCCTCTGGGGGAAATTTGGGTTCACTGGGGAAATTTGGCTCCACCCTACAACTCTCAAGTCCTCTCACATCTTAGGAAATCTAGCCCTCTCCCCAGCCAGTTCCTCTCTGAGTGTTGCAATGGCAGAGTTTCTAGCAAGGGTGGGGAGCCCTTGCTCAATGACCTGCCTGCCCTGCTCTTTGGAGGATATAGCTGCCAGGGTGTGCATTTGGGGGGCTCCCCAAGGCTCCCTAGGCCCTTCCCTGATGTGGGAATAGGAGTAGAGCTCTGGAGGTAGGTGTCCACTTTCACTCTGCCACCAGGTGTGACTCTGAGGTGGCTGGGAGCTGAGGCAGTGTCTGGGGGAAGGGCTTGTTTTTAGGAGACAGTGACTGGGGGCCTATGTGTGAGCCGAGCATGACTTGCTAGAAATCCAGTTAGAGAGATGGGTCTAACATACAAAAACATGAGTGTCCAAGTGTGTGAGTATATGTCCATGTATATGTGCACATGTATATGTGTGTGCGCTGCTGTGCATCAGAGCTTGGGCTCATGTGAGAGCCTGTGTTGGTGTGTGGTGGTGTTGGCAAGCATGCTCATGCAGGCATATGCTGTGAGTGTCATGTGAGTGTGCTGGTGTGAGTGTGTGTGAGTGTGCTGGTGTGTCAGGTGGGCATGAGTGTGAGAGAGTAGGTGTGGGTGGTGTGTCCTATGTGAAGGTGGATGTGTAAGTGTGCTGGGGTGGTGGGAAGGAAAATGAAGGCAGAAGTCATGCTGGGGCAGAGCCCAGGCCTGCTGGCTTCCAGAAGAGGGCAGGAGCTGGGCAGCCGGCTGGCAGGAACACTGACAGGACCTTCATCTTCCGTGTCCTTCTGTCTCGCCCTCAGGTCTCTGGCCCCTCCCAAGGACCATGCAGGGCAGGAGCTGGGCAGCCGGCTGGCAGGAACACTGACAGGGCCTTCATCTTCCGTGTCCTTCTGTCTCGCCCTCAGGTCTCTGGCCCCTCCCAAGGACCATGCTGCAGTCCCACTGACCCAGGAGTAAGGGCCTGAGGGGTGAGTGCAGGTGGGAGGAGGACTGAGAGCTTTCGGGGTCAGGAAACGGGGGAGTGGGGTGGCCTTCCTGGGCCCCACAACTGCTCACAGCCCCCTCCTCCTACAAGGGCCCTGTTGCTAGGTAACGGATGGGGGAGCCAGAATGAGGCAGCTTGAGAGGCCGGAGGCTGGACCCACGACAGGAAATGGCCTTGATCCCCCTCCGCAGGGACTCTCCAGGTGCAAGCACACAGCCTTCACACACACACATACACACAGATATACACATGTACTCACACAGATACACACACACACAGACAGGCACGTATGCTCCCACAAAGAGCTATGGACACAGTCATAGACAGACACAGAGGCACCTACTCACACAGACCTGGGTGCACAGAGATACACACACACGCATACACAGGGGCACACACAGACCTGCTCACACGGAAACGTGTACATACTCAACACTCATACAGACGTGCACACACACAGCCAAACACATGCTCAGAGACATTTACACACTTGTATACACACAAACCTGCACATCCAAACACACATTTACACAGACTTGCACACACACGAGCAAACTCACACATACTTATAGACACACAAAGAGACACGTGCACAAGCACACTGAATGAGTCACAGAAACACAATATATCAAATCAATAGGAAGCAAAAATATATAAGTAAACTTAACAACATCCCGATGCAGAAAACAAGGAGGGAAGAGGAGCTCCGAGGATGCTCATACTCTCTCCAAATACACTAGGGCAGCTGGGAGCAGACCCAACTGTGGCCCTGCCCCACCATTATCCCTCAGTAGGGAGGACCCCTAATCCAGGCCCAAGAGGGGAAGCTGCATGTCTGTATGCATGTGTGTATGTGTGTGCGCGCACATGTGAATATGTGCACAGGGTGGTGCACCTGGCAGGGACCCCTGAATGAGGCATGCCCCTATTCTGTGCCAGGGTACCTGGAATGGGCTGTGTGTTCTGCAAGAAGTTGGAGCCGGGGACCAAGGAGGATGCTGGCCTGGAAGGGGACTTGAGGGGCTATGGGGCTGCAGACCGCTATGTCCCTGACCCTACTCAGGCCCGGTCTGCACCCCCCTTTGCCCACATCCCCAACTACAACAACTTCTGCCCTCAACCCACCAGCCCCAACTTCCTCAGTGGTGGCACCAGAGGCATCTCAGGTGAGTCCAGTGGGCTGGAGGCAGGCACTGCCTGGATCCTGGGAGAAAGTGGGGAAAGGGGAGGTGTGGACTTGTCCCTAGGAGTCTCCAGTATGATGCGGAAGACACAGTCCTGCTTTCAAGATCACACAGGCTGGGGGAGTATGTACAGTCCTAGCCTCAGAAACCTCAGTCTGAGAGAGAGCTACAGCTCTGTTCTCAGTCTGAGGGGAGCCCTGATGACAGATGCAAATAGTACAGAGAACTAGATTTCTCTTGCCCTCTTAGGTGCCACTTCCCAGGTGGGAAGTCTTCTTGATGAGGAAGAGGAGAGTGGGCAACATGGGGACTCCCCAGGGTGGGAGGGATGGGCTTGAAGGTGTGTGTCCTGAATCCATGGGGTGGTCAAAGTATGAAGCCCAATCAGAAATCCATCAGACTGTAAAGGCCTCTGGGAACCTGCAGCAGCAGGGAGGCACAGTGCCTGGCTGGGAAACAGAGATCTGGGGGTGCAGCCCCCTTGGGGCCCCTGTCCTGTGCCCTACTCTGCTGAGTAGCCCTGGCTCTGCAGGGACTGGGGTGACCCTGTTCATCGCACTGTATGACTATGAGGCCCGGACAGAGGATGACCTCACCTTCACCAAGGGCGAGAAGTTGCACATTCTGAACAACACGTAAGTAACCAGGCCATTTAGCTCAGGGAACAACCTGGGCTGGGAGCAGGACTCAGAGAGGAGTCTTACCTGGTCCCTGTCCTCAGAAGGCTCCAGCCTAGTTGGGGACACGTATACATGACAATGAAAACCCTGGGTGATTGCTACTGTGTAGGGGGAGCATGAGGAACTATGGGCACAGAAAGAACATCAAACACGGTCCCCAGGGTAATGGTGATCAGGGCAGGCTTCCAGAAGGAGGTGATTTGTAAGCTGAGACTAGAAAAATAAAGAGTGAAAGAAGAGGTGAGAAAAGAGGAAGAGAGAGTGAGAGAAAATGAGAATAAATGATGGCTTCTGGAAACAACCATGTGGTTCAGTCTAGGTGGATGATAAAGCATGAGATACAGAACAGAGAGAACAGAGGCCGAAGAGGTGAGCAGGGACAGATTCTGCAAGGCTTTTTAAGCCCTGTTGAGGAGTCTGGATTTTATCATGAAGGAAATATGTAGCCATTGGGGAATTTTCAGTGGGGAAGTGACTTAGTCAGCTGACCACCATATCCCCAAACCCCAGCCCAGTGAGGAGCAAGAGGAAGAAGCCAGGAGGCCCAGATGTCCCCAAACATTCCTTCTGCAGGGAGAGCCATCCTGGAGCAGTTGTAGTGGCTGGGGGCAGAGCAGACAAAAGCTCTTGGGGGAGACAGCATATGCCTGCATGAGAGCCATCCTGGAGCAGTTGTAGTGGCTGGGGGCAGAGCAGACAAAAGCTCTTGGGGGAGGGGTCTGTGTATCCAAGGTCAGGGGTAGGCAGGGCCAGTCTACCTGATCCTTTGTGTGGCTCTGCTTGGCCCCAGGGTGTCCTAGGGACTGGAGTTGCCACTGACCACCCCCCTACCCCCCGTTCTGTGCCTGCAGTGAAGGTGACTGGTGGGAGGCTCGGTCCCTCAGCTCCGGACAATCTGGCTACATTCCCAGCAACTATGTGGCCCCTGTGGACTCCATCCAGGCTGAAGAGTGAGTGGGGATTGGGGTGAGGCCAGCCCTATGGATAAGACCCTGAAGTCCAGATTCCAAGGCCACCTCTTGGACAAATCATTGTTCCACTCTGAGTCTTTCTCCTTATCTTTAATTTTGTAAAGTCATTGTGAGAATAAAAGAAGATAACGATGATGCTAATAAGTACTATATAGCATGTACTCTAGGCTGGGCACTATTCAAAGTGCTTCCTGTGCATTAATGGAGTTAGAAACTATCATTATCCTGTTTTACAAATGGAGAAGCTGAGGCTCCGAGACAGTAAATATCCCGCCCAAGTTCACATGGCTAGTAAGTGGTGGAGCTGGCATAATAAACCCAGATAGTCTGGCTGAGTTTGTGACGCATTACACATATTGTCTCTCAGTGACAACAGCAGTGTACGGGCTTTTAAAAGTTGCACAGTGCTAAGCAAATGCAAGCGAGTATTACTTAGAATTATTTATTTTAAGGAGGCAGAGGATTACTATTCATAAAGTACCTTTCTTTATATACATGAGACACTACAACAGGTACTCCACTTACCTTTTTTTTTTTTTTTTTTTTTTTTTTTTTTGGTGGCTGGCCAGTAGGGTGATTCATTTAATTCTCACGATAACATTATTGATATCATTATTGCCCCCATTTTACAGATGAGGAAACTGAGGTTCATTAAAGCTTTTTAAAATCTATCACCTATATCATACATATTTGAGAAGAGATTGAAGAGACTTTACAGAGTGGGAATCGCTGGGACTTGGTGACTGATTTACTGTTGGGCTATGGGGAGTAGGAGAATCAAGAGTGATTCAGAGTCTTCTTGAAGAACTGACTGGGTGATGGTACCATTTGCTAAGGTGGGAAACACAGGAGCAGGTACAGACAGGTATATGGAGGGGACTTGTTGGATCGAGGTGTGTGGAGATGGACACCCAGGTAGAGGAGGTTACCAGCAATTAGATTTGGTTGTGCTTTGTATGAGAGGTGCTCAGTCCATGACACATCATACCCTCGAAGTGGCCCAGAGGAAAGGACACCTTTTCCTAACAGACACTAAGACTTCTTAGTTTGTTTGCTGTGGCACTTGGGCTGAGGTGGAAACTTGAGACTGTCAGAACAGAGATGATCATGGAAGCTGCATAGAAGGGTAAAGAAAGACAGAGGAGGATTGGCCCTAGGACACAACTGTGGGGAAAGCTGCCCTTGAAGGAGAAGGAGCCATTGGAGAAGTGAGGAAAACCAGGCCAGGCCTAGTCAGAACAGTCCAGAAGGCGGGGGTGACCTTGGTGAGACATCTCTCTTTGTGAAGTGGCGGCAGAGGCCAGACAGCAGAGCCTAGGAGGGAGTGGGAGGTAAGGAAGTGGAGACCCAAGTGTGAAGCGCTTTTTCAAGTGAAGAGAAGGTGAGAAGATACAGCAGGATGTTGTTGGCAAGAAAGGATTTAGAATAGTTTCCTTTGGGGAAGGAAGACGTGGGCATGTATAGCAGTTCATAGGATGGAGAAGCTGCAAGTGGGAGCTGCCCCGTGGGGTGGGGAGTAGGGGGTCCCTGAGCAGAGGGGAGTGGGCAGGGTCCAGAGCTCAAGTGGGTTGAGGCCGTGGTCTGGGGAGGGTGGTAGGGGGCAGGAAGGGAAGTTGGGGTAAAGATGCCGAGGGCAGGAGCTTTGGGGAGGTTCGTGCTTGTGTCCACATCTTGGGGGCAGCGTCAAGGAGATCTGGAAGGTGCTCAGTGCAGCTTTGTGGTTAAGTGTAGAGTCGTGGCTAAGAGCACAGGCCCTAGAGCAGACAGCTTGGGTTTCTATTCCGGCAACACAGTTTAAGAGCCTTGTGGCCTCCGGCAAGTTGCTTAACCACTAGGTATCTCAATTTCTTCATCTGTCTAATGGAGGTTAATTCATAGTATCTACCTCACAACGTTATTATGAGAATTAAGTGAATACATATGTATTAAAGCAGAGCCTACCACAAAATAAATGTGTTATTATTATATTGATTATTAAGGAAGTAGATAATGTTGTGAGTGTGAGTGGGGGCAGGGCTTTGAAAAAATTTGGGAATACGTCCCGTCTACACAGTCCTTCAGCAGTTCCTCCTTCCATCTCCTGCCTGCCCTCTTGGATACACCACTTGCCAATGCTGTTCCCTGTTCCCCCAAACTGTGCCTAATACCCAAATGTGGACTGAGACTTCCACCTCCCTTCATTTGAAAACTACACTCCTTTTAATTCAACCCGAGATGAGCACAGGCCCATTTAGAGGTCAAATGACATCTGAGTCTTCTACGTCACTTGTGGTCACTTCAACAGCCCCATGTACTTGCACAGTTGTCTCAGGGCTACAATTCAATCCCAGAAAGAATCCCCAAGAGAGAGCAGGAATGGTTGAGGCCTGAGGTGGAAGATGAAACTTAGGATAACTTCTAAATTTAAGAGAGTGGAGGAAAAGCAGCAATCAGAACTGGACAGGAACAGTCAGAAAGAGGGGAGAGAAGCAGGAGAGGGTGGTGTTCTGGAGGCCAAAGGAGGAAAGGGGTCGGGGGTGGGATGGGCCCAGGGATCTCAGTGATTGCCTGGGTGGTGGGAAAAGAAGTAGGGTGAGCAGCCCAGGATTTTTTTTTTTTCCTTTTTTGTCTTTTTTACTGAACCCTCGGTGTTGCGTCCACACCGCGCTCAGCCAGTGAGCGGAACCAGTCTCCACATGGGATCCGAACCCTCGGCGGTCCTTTTTTGTCTTTTTTACTGAACGGTAACGGGATCGCAACCCTCGGTGTTGCGTCCACACCGCGCTCAGCCAGTGAGCGGAACCGGTCTCCACATGGGATCCGAACCCTCGGCGGGAGCACCGCCGCACTCCCAAGCGGCGCACTCTCCAGTGCGCCACCGGGCCGGCCTGTCAGCAGCCCAGGATTTTATGTAGAGCTCATCTGCCAGCCCTGTGGGCAGGCCCCTTCCCTCTCTGAGCCTCAAGTTCCTCATCTGTAAAATGAGTGTGTGGAGGGTCTCTAGTGAGATGGACTAAGGGACCCGTGACACCTTGATGAGGTCACTGGTGACTGGGGTTCAAGCAATTTTAATTCAAGAGAAACCCAAAGAGTAGAATGGAGAAAACTAACCTTTATTGGGCACCTGTTGTGTGCCAGGCATTTTACATCCCCCTTCTGTGTGACCCTCAAGACCAGGGTGTGAACCAGGTGTGTGAGCCCCATTTTACATGGGAGGAAATTGAGTTTTGGCTTGTGTGGTGACTGCCCACCTCAAAAGGCTGAGTTGGGGTTTGAACGAAGTGTACCTGACTCTCACCTGCCTTTCCCCACAGGTGGTACTTTGGAAAGATCGGGAGGAAGGATGCAGAGAGGCAGCTGCTCTCCCCAGGCAACCCCCAGGGGGCCTTTCTCATTCGGGAGAGTGAGACCACCAAAGGTGGGGGCGGCACCATGCACCACAGTGACTGGGAGGCTGAACCATTAGGGTGGGACTAGGAGGGTAGGGTAGTGCTTGGGTCAGGACTAAGACTGGAACAAGGTTTGAGAGATAGACCTAAGACTGGGGCTGGGTTCTAGGGATGTAGCCATCCTCCTGAGAGTCCCCAGTCTTTAGGGCCTCTTTTTGCTCCCAGATGGGGTGAGAGGAGGACAGCAAACCTAAAGTGACCCTTCCCCACAGGTGCCTACTCCCTGTCCATCCGTGATTGGGACCATACCAGAGGCGATCACGTGAAGCATTACAAGATCCGCAAACTGGACACGGGTGGCTACTACATCACCACGCGGGCCCAGTTTGACTCCGTGCAGGAGCTGGTGCAGCACTACATGGGTGAGGGTGGGAGCTTCAGATCCCTGAACAAACCCATCGATGCGTTGTCCAGACGGGGAGACTGAGGCCTAGAGAACAGAAGGGTCTCCCAAAGTGGTTAGTGGCCAGTCCAGGACTAGAACTCAAGTATGGGGACTCCTGGGTGGGGATTTTGCTCTATGGGATTAGAGAGGAAACTGAGGCAAGTGGCCGGCCATGTCCAAGCAGCGCCCCCTAATGCCCAAGCAGTGAATTAGTCAGTTTCTGCCTCAAGGCCTGAATCTGTGGAAACGTTATTGTTTGTGCTGTCTTGAAGGCCCCACCAAGGCACCAGGACTGCCCTGTGGGCAGGCAGGGAGCCACCATCACAGGGTCCTGAGCAGGGGGTGACAGAGGCTGGTCTGCACTTTGGTGAGAAACTCTGGTTGCTGGGAGGAGCTTGGATGCTGGGGGGCAAGGAAGAATGAGGGGTCCATTAGGTGTCAGTGGCCATTGTCCAGGTGAGACGTGATGGTGGCCGGACTAAATCAGGGGCAGTGGAGTAAAGGACAAGCAGAGGATTCTGAAGCTGGGTAAGAGGCAGAATAGGCCTGACTTGATGAAGGGTTTGCCTTAGGGTTGAGGGGAAGGCGGGAGTCATGGCCCAGGTTTCTGCCTTGATTGGTTAGGCCAAGGATGAGGTCCTTGTCCACCCCTTTGCCTGGAATCCCCAATCCCATTCCCACCTGTCAGAATCCTACCTTATCCTTCAAGGCCCAGCTGAAGGCTGCCTCCTATGGGAAGTCCCCCAGTCCTTATGGGGATCATCTTTCCCTCTGGGTGCCACTCCCCTTCCCCCATTACCTATATGTTCACCGAATCAGTGGGCCCGGTTGCCTTCCTTTCTGATCTGTGATCTCCCCTGGAGCCTAACCCCTTATAACTGATCTTGGGGTCTGGTGCTGGGCTCTGGTGGGATGGGGGGGGCATCCTGACCCACCTGTGACTTCCTTCCCCCCCGCCGTCCCCCAGAGGTGAATGATGGGCTGTGCCACCTGCTCACGGTGGCCTGCACCACCACCAAGCCGCAGACGCTGGGCCTGGCCAAGGACGCCTGGGAGATCAGCCGCAGCTCCATCGCGCTAGAGCGCCGGCTGGGCAGCGGCTGCTTCGGGGACGTGTGGCTAGGTGCGGAGGGGCAGGGGTCCGGGGCCAGGGTCCGGGGCGAGGGCCGGGGCTGGCGGGAAGTGGGTGCTAACGAGACGCGACCGCCGGGCAGGCACGTGGAACGCCAGCACTAAGGTGGCAGTGAAGACGTTGAAGCCCGGCACCATGTCCCCGAAGGCCTTCCTGGAGGAGGCGCAGATCATGAAGCTGCTGCGGCACGACAAGCTGGTGCAGCTGTACGCCGTGGTGTCCGAGGAGCCGATCTACATCGTGACCGAGTTCTTGTGCCACGGTGAGGGGCGGGGACAGGAGGCTGAGTCTGGGCGTGCAGGATTGAGGGCGAAGTTAAGGTGGGTGTCTCCGGAGGTGGGACCTGGGCCACGATCTGTGAGGGGACGAGGGACAACGGGTAGAGTCCTAGAATCCTAGTAACAGGTCGGAATGAATGAAAGACTGGAGTGTCGGGAATGGGGGCGGGGCCGAGTTAGAGGAGGCGGGGTCTGCTGGCGGGTGGGGCTGGGGTCGACGAAGGCAGGGTGTGTGATGAGGGGGGTCTAAGGCGGAGTCCGAGTGGGGCGTGTCCTGGGGACCGAGGAAGAGAAGCCCCGAGATGGGAGCAGAGTAGTGTCTGGGAGCAGGGTCTGGGAGAGATTCGTTGATGGGTTGGGGCATCGCGGTGGGATCCTAAATGGGGTGCGAATCTAGGTGAGAAGGTAGAACCAGTGGGTGGGGTCAAGCTAAATTAGACGGTTCAAGATAGGGACTAAGAGAGAGAAGCGGTCCTGGAGCTGGAGGTAAGGTCTTGCTGCTGATTTTCTGGCTTCTCTCCCCAGGGAGCTTGCTGGAGTTCCTCAAGGACCAGGAGGGCCAGGATTTGAGGCTGCCCCAGTTGGTGGACATGGCAGCCCAGGTAAACTGGGACAGCAGCCTTATCTCCTAGACCTCCCTCCTATTACCCTTCCACAAATCTCTGTGCTTTTCAACACTTAGCCTACCCCGGAAGTGCGTTCCGCCCACTGTAGCAGCTGTGCTACCTGAGGCAGGGCACTGCTTCCCTCCAAGTCTGTCTCCCTACCTGGAAAGTGGGTTTTTCAAATGGTCCCTCGCCTCTCACACAGGCCATGGTGCTGTGAGTCCACATGAGCTCCCATGTCTCCACACCTTGACTCCCCAGGTAGCCGAGGGCATGGCCTACATGGAGCGTATGAACTACATCCACCGCGACCTGAGGGCAGCCAACATCTTGGTGGGGGAGCGGCTGGTGTGCAAGATCGCTGACTTCGGCCTGGCCCGCCTCATCGAGGATGACGAGTACAACCCCCGGCAAGGTGCCCTGCCTCACCCCACCTCCCAAGAGCTCCCCATATACCCAGGGGCTGCCATGGAGTCCCACCTACTCGGGAATCCTTCCCCAACCCAGATCATCCAGGACACCCGCATCCTGATTCTGGGTTCAAATCCCAGCTCAGCCATTTACCAGCCATGTGGCCTTGGGCAGGTCACCTAAACTCTGTGAGCTGCTTTTTCTTATTTGTAAAATGAAAGTATTCAGACAACAATAAGTCAACAGATATTTACCAAGTACCTACTATTTGCTGGGACTGCTATAATTCTTAAGTGAGAGACAATAGAGTGCAATAATACGAACTCTTTAGCCAGAATGTCTGGATGTGAATCCCAGCCACTTATTACCTGTGTGACCTGTGCAAGTTACTTAACTACTCAGTGCCTCTTTTCCTCATCTGTAAAATGAGGGTAATAATAGTATCTACCTCATGGGGTTTGTGTGAGGTTTAAATGAGTTAATGCAAGCGTGTCACTTAAAACAGTGCCTGGAACATAGTAAAGGCTATACATGTACTAGCTGTTATTATTATGAGAATAATTACAATGTTTGGAAAGTGCCCAGCACTATATTAGTAGGTGCTGACTAGATACCAGGTCCTTTCTGCCAGAGGGCCTCTGTGTTCAGGGTCCCCAATCTAAAGTCCCCATTCTCCAGGCTGGCCAGTTAGCTTAGCTGGTTAAGAGTACAGTGTTGATAACACCAAGGTCAAGGTTTCGGATCCCCATACTGGCCAGCCGACCAAAAAAAAGAAAAGAAAAAGAAAAAAAGGTCCCCATTCTCTTACTCCAGCTGTTCCCAAGGACCCCCTCATTAATTCTCCCTTCTCCCCCAACCTCTCCAGGGGCCAAGTTTCCCATCAAGTGGACAGCCCCAGAGGCTGCCCTCTTTGGCAGATTCACCATCAAGTCAGATGTGTGGTCCTTTGGGATCCTGCTCACTGAACTCATCAGCAAAGGCCGAGTCCCCTACCCAGGTTTGTGGGGGGTGGGGTGGTCATGGGGAAGGGCTACCTCCTGGCTGCCCCTTTGGGAAGGGCTAGACCCCCTGACTGATGGAGCCCCACTTCTCAGGCATGAATAACCGGGAAGTGTTGGAACAGGTGGAGCATGGCTACCACATGCCATGCCCCCCAGGCTGCCCAGTATCCCTATACGAGGCCATGGAACTGACCTGGCATCTGGACCCAGAGGAGAGGCCTACCTTCGAGTACCTGCAGTCCTTCTTGGAGGACTACTTCACCTCCACAGAACCACAGTACCAGCCTGGCGATCAGACATAGCCTGCTCAGGCATCAAGCACCTCTCTGGCAGTGCCCATCAACTGTTTCCAATCCCCAGGGCTCTGGGCCCAAAGCCCCTGGGCTTGGCACCCTATAGGGTTCTAGCATGTCAGAGGAGGCAGGGTGCTCTTACACCATCTATGGCAACCTGCTCATTTTATAGATGGGACAAATGGAGGCTTAGAGCTCATCCCTCACCCACTTTGGCCTCAAGCACTATTTCTCCCCTTCCCACTTAGGCCCCTACATGCCTACAGTCTCTCCCCTCCACTTCCAAAATGCTCAGACCTTGTCTAGTTATTTATAAAATTGTATATCTCTTCCTTCACTTATCTCCTATCCCTGCTTTCCTACCCTCCTGTCATTCCACTCTGGTCTTTGCCCCAAGAACTTACCTTCTACTCTCAATTCCCTTGTGCTTGTAAGTTGCAAAGACAGGGAAAGTCCTTGCTAAACCCCTTTCCTGCTGGGTGGATGTTGTGTTCAGGACTGGGGTTCAGGCCCATGTTTGGGAAAGTTGCTGAGGGCTCACCAGCAACAGTCAACAGTGTGTGTGTGTTTACTGATTTTATAAATAAGGAAAATGACAATATAAATTCTTGAGCCATGAAAATCCCCTAAACCTTTCTTCGGGAGGGATGGTGGTCAGTGGGGGATGAATGGGACAGGTTTGGCTTTTGGGAGCAGGAAGGGAAGGTGAGAGAATGCCTGATGACTACCAAACAAGGCACCCAGATGTGGAGTTTTAAGATACTCAAAAGTTCCACTGCTCATTCCCATGTGAGTTTAGGATGAGTTCAGAGAAGGATACAGAAGACAGGCAGCTGGAGATAGATCAAAATGTCCCCTCCATTACCGATGCTGCTTTTAATCTGTACACAACGCATTTGCTAATTCTTTACCTGGTTTCAGCAGATTTACCGCTTACCACAGGCACAATGGGACAACCTTAGGCCTCCCTCGACAAGGATGGGGAGAAGAACGTAGTGGACCCTCTGTAGCTGCCAGACTCCCCAAAAGAGGACAGAAGGGAGGGAGGGAAGAACCCTGAGAGTTAGTCTAGCTCATTGGATCTACCCCCAAGGGAGCTTTTGGAGAGGCTTGGAGGTAGTTTTTTTTTGTCACAATGACTGGGGGACTCCTGCTGGCATTTAGTGGGCTGGGGTCAGGGATGCTAAACAACTTGCAATGCACCTGTGGAATGATGAATTGTCCCACCCTTTACTTCCCCTTTTGAGAAACCCTGAAAACTGATGTGCCTCCATGAGGAAACAAGGGGAGCAGGGAATAAGGGTTTCCACCTCTCCCATTGGGAAATGGTTATTGACCCCTTGATTCACTAAGGGAATGGACAGGGAAGGAGTCTGGGAGCTGGCAAGTAATTACTTTTGCAACTGGCAAATAATTACTAAGCATTGTCTCTGTGAACAGCCCTTCACTAAGCAGGACCCTGGCAACACAAACACGAATAAGACCTGTCCCTGCCCTGGAGGAGTACACAGTCAGGCTGGGGGGAAATAACAGTAGTAATAGTAACTCATCTGCTGAATAGCAGATGTGTTCACATCCATCTTTTCATTCAATCCAGTCCTGAGCCTGATTCTATGATTAGCTCCATTTGTTGATGAGAAAACTGAGGCTCAGGGGTTACATGATGTACTAAACTCACAGAGCTGTGTGTGACAGAGATGGGATTTGAACCTAGGTCATACACCAAAGCCTCTTTCCACTAGACCTCATTGCCTCTAGGCTTTGGGAAGAGAGCATATCTGTCCTCTGTGTGTGTGTGTGTGTGTGTGTGAGAGAGAGAGAGAGAGAGAGATCTTCCTCCCTCTAGTTATTGGTAGAAATATTCCTGGAAATTCCCCCCAAGTTGAGTGGCCTAAAGGAAAAGGGGACAAAGCAGTCAATGCAGATTGAGAGTACCCCATGCCCAGCCCTGTGCTGGGAGTTGTTGAATGGTACAATAAGATGGAGAGAAGCCAAGTGACTGATCAGAGAGGTTGTCATAGGGGTGGGAGCTTTAGCTCTGCAGACAAAATCTCAGGGGCCAAGTCTTCCTGGGGCCACAGTCTCTGGCCAAAGAAACTCACAATAGCCTGATGTATAAGCAGAGGCCAGTGTTTCTACCTGCCATGGAGTAAGCAGATAAGAGCACAGCTCTGGAGCTGTAGAGCCTGGTGTGGACCCTGCCTCCACCACTCATAGGCTGCATGATTTTGTGCAATTTATTAATCTCTTCAAGCCTCAATTTCCTCATCTGTGGAATAGCAATAAAATGTTCAACACATGTTAGCTCTCTTTTGTTGCTCCATTTACAAATTGTTTACTCTGTGCCAGGTATCCTGCTAAATGCATGCTGCCGTTCAATCCTTGCAGAACCCTATGAAGAGAAGGCTCTTGGATCTTCATTTTGCTAATAACAAAAACAGAAGCACAGTGAAGTAAATCAGCTTTTCCGAGGTTTACAGGACATAAGTGGCAAAGCAGAGGTTTAAACCAAGTCTTCTGACTCCAAAATCAGTGCTCTTGGTTTCTATAGCCTTTACCTGGGACCAGAATATTCTAGTCTGCCCTGTGGGGCTCTGCCTGGTACCTGGATGCCCATTTAATTTCAGGGAAGGCTCAGCAGGGCAGCGAACCATCTGGAGTTCACCAGGCCCCTCACTGCTCCTCAGCAGAGACCAGAGCCTCCTGGGCCTGGAATCCCTATGTGCCTACTTGTCTCTCCTCCTGGAGCAGCTGAATGAATTCTTCCTTGCACCTCCTTTTCTGTACAGCCTTCTGTTCCCTTCAGATAGAGCACAATGCAATTGATTAGGCTTCTGCTTTCTCAATTTCAATCACATCCTCGCCCTGCCTCCCTGAGATTACAGGCGGGTCACCTTGATTGCGGTTTGCACCGTTCAGAAAACTCTTCAGTCGTTTACAAAACCATCTCTCGCCTCATTCACTCTCCCACCTGGCTCTTCTCCGTGATGCGTAGATTTTACTGGCTTAAGACTCAGAGGGCAATTTTATTTCCAAGTTCATGGTGGAGGAGGAGGACGCCTAATTGACTAATGCTGGGTGTTTCACATGCATCGTCTAATTTGATCCTCACTAGAAGGCAGTGCAGAAATCTGATTATCTCCATTTTACAAAAGGAAACAAAGACTCTGAGCAGCTACAACACTTGCCCAAGGTCATACAGCAGGATGGTAGGGCCAGGATTTGAGCTCAAATCTCATGCACCCACTGCATCACATTCCTTTATTTGAAGGCCCAGCCTGGAAAAGTGTAATACTGACCCAGAGTCAGGTCCAGGAAGACACGGTGCAGATAGGGTTCCGGGGTAGCCCCATACATGCTGTGGATTGTATTTGTAAAAGAACTAACTCATTTATTAGTTTTGCAGACCTTTACTGATGCCTCCTATAGGCTAGTCCTGTCCAGAAGGCAGAACAGTAAACAATTACACTTAGGGGCAAGATCAGTCTGAGAACCAAGGGATATTTCTTGGAGTATGTGAAAGAAAAGTCTGCTTGATGAAGCAGCCAGAAGGTGAGGACATCTCTGGCTGAGGGAACAGTATGTGCAAAGGCCCAGGGGTATGGTAGAGGAAGGTCCATTCAGGCAAGTGCAAATAATTATGCATTTAATTATTTAAATTAAATCATTTAGATTTAAAATTAAAGGGTTGAGAGAGTTGAATGTCAATAAGGCATGGAAGAAGAAGGTTGGAGGGTCAGAGGCAAGAAGTAAGAGGAAGGGAAAAACCAAGGGTTAAGGCCCCATTTGTGAGGAAAAGCCAGAAAGAAGAAATGTGGGGGAACCAGGACCCATTGGGGTAGTCTATCCTGGATCCCACTGCTCCAGGACTGAGCTGGGTGGATCCTCTATCCACTCCAATAGTTATCTCCCAGATAGGGTATTTATTGAAGCCTCCTTTCCACCCCCCCAACCTATTTCACACACACACACACACACACACACACACACACACACACACACACACACACACACCGCCTGGATGGTCTTGCAGAAATGTCCATGCTCCCTCTAGTGGCCACTCTGGATACTGCATCCAAAACTGCAGAAAACTTTCCCCTGGGATGGTCCCTTCAAAAACTTCCCACTGCAGGACGGGAGATACAGCACAGTTCTTGCTGTCAATTTAACGGTAATGGGGGTTAAGGGGACAGACACAGGCAGAAAATGACAATACAGAGTGTGTGGGAGAACAGGTGGGGTCCTAACTCAATTGGGTGGGAGAAGTCTAGAAGGCTTCTCAGAGGAGGTGTTGCTTCACCAGAGACAAAAAGAGTTTGCTTGGTAAAGAAGGGCTGGCTCGTGGCTCACTTGGGAGAGTGTGGTGCTGAGGGTACCAAGGCCACGGGTTCGGATCCCTATATAGGGATGGCCTGTTAGCTCACTTGGGAGTGCGTGGTGCTGACAACACCAAGTCAAAGGTTAAGATCTCCTTACCGGTCATCTTAAAAAAAAAAAAATGAATGAAGGGCATTCCAGACTGGACAGTACATTCAGAGGCAGGAGATGGGACTGTGGAAGCAATTATAATTAGGTAGCTATGACTGGAGTGTAAAATTTGAGGGGGCTTAGCGACTAAAGATAAAGATGGCAAGGTAGCATGGGTCTTCTCTGCCATGTACTCGGGCTGGGATTCTAAGCCTTGGATAATGGGAAGCCACCAAAGTGTTTTGAGCAAGAGAAACAAGGTCAGATCCATTTTTCAGAAGAAGACCTCTGGCGACCAATATGGAGCAAGGATAAGAGGGGAAGCAGGGAGTAGAGGGATACTCCTCTTGGACACAAAGAAACACACTAGGCCACTCATATAAGGACACATATCTCTGACCAAGCCTGTGAACCAGACATATCAATACAAGTGATGACACCTACAGACATGTCAGTGGGATCCCAGACTGAGCACCCAGAGACAAACATGTAGTGATATACACTCAGACACATAGCTCAGGTCCACAAGCAGAAAGCTAACTGAGGGGGCCGGCCCGGTGGCGAACTGCTACTTGCGCCGCTTGGGAGCGCAGCGGCGCTCCCGCCGAGGGTTCGGATCCCACATACAGACCGGCCGCTCACTGGCTGAGCGAGGTGCGGGCGCGACACCGAGGGTTGCGATCCGTTGCCGGTCACAAAAAAAGACAAAAAGGAAAAAAAAAAAAAAAAGAATTAGCAATGAAGACATTAAAAGTTATTCTAAATGCATTCTATTTGTTCAAAAAGTTAAGTAATGACACAGAAGATACAAAAATGACCCAGATTGAACTTATGTCAATAAAATGTACATTATCTGAGATAAACATAAGCTGGATGTGGTTAACAGCAGATCAAACCTTGCAGAAGAAAAAAAAAAAATAGGTGAACTTGAAGACACAGTAACAGAAACTACCCAAAATAAAACATGCAGATAAAAAAACTTTAGAAAAATTAAATCAAATGGCTGAACATACCTATAATTGGAGTTCCCCGAAGGAGAGGAGTGAGACAGAAAAAATAATTGAAGAAATAATGGCCAAAATTTTTCCAAAATTAATAAAAACTATAAACACATATCCAAGAAGCTAAACAAACTCCAAGCATAAGAAATATGAA